CCTTTTTAGTATATTCAGCAATATATAATCAAATCAAAACAAAAATGCCTCTTATTTGGACTTCAAGCTCTGTGTCATAAAGGATACCTTTGAACTCTGGAGAATATTCAAACACATATATGAAATTTACAATGGTGTGTCCCAGTTCATTGTGAAACAAAATATGCAGGATGATCAAAAGGAAGACAGGCAGAGTAAAGCCGTTTCTATAAGAAATGCTGCTCGGATCCTACCTCGACTATCGACTTCTATTGGCACCAACCTTCTACCATATGTCGTATTCCGGTCATGACTGCATAACTTTATTTTGTTTGACAGAAAGAGGAGGATTAAACTCCTGGCATTTCCATACTGATGCGGGTTCTATTGGCATCACGCCTTCAGTCGGGCTATCTACAGAATGTAAAATAACATTTTCAGATGATGTTGGGCTTTGCACACTGGATATTGGGGAACTTCCGTTATTCATATCTTCCTTGAGAGTTGTCTGATCCCTGAAAGAACAAATACTCAAGGGCAGTTTTTTAAGCTTTACTCTTCCCCTTTTTTTAACAGCGACACTAATATTGTCGCACGTTTTCTCCTTCTGACTTGTCTCTGCTTCTCCATTATCCATCTCGGACTGATTGTTCTTCTTATCAGCTTTGAGCTTGCGTACTTCCTGAACGCTGCCCTCAGAGTCAGCCTCACTGGTTCTAGCATGCCCATTGCACCTGGGAGTAGGGTCCAACTCCTGTGAGATGCCGCAGTTGGAAACCTTAGTTTTCTCAGAACCAGGTGAACCTTTGAACCTCTTATGTCTGTGGCCTCTAGCATCAGAACCAGATGAATTTTTCAAAATTCTCGGGGAGCTATTTATGGCTCGATGCAATTTGCGAGCTAACTCTTCATCTGTCTTGGTATTCTCAAGCGGTTGATATTTTGTGTATAGAAGCTGAACTGGGACATGTTTCTTCAGCTTGTTCTTTCTCAGGTTTATTTCTTTATAGGCTGCTTCTTCAGAAATGGTGGCAACCAAGTCCATGGCACTCTTTGCAGCCGCAACAGCCCTTGCTGCAATCGCCGCCTTCTCTTCAGCTGCTGCCCTGGCAGCCTCCGCAGCCTTCACAGCTGCAGCTGCAGCTGATCTTGAGGCCTCCACTATCTCTTCAGATGATAGGTTAGTATTTGAATGAGCACTCAACAGATTGTTAAGCCGCATATTGAACTCAATAGATGTGAAGCCATAGGAAGGAGAGGGAGGAGGAGAACAAGAGGAGGAGGCAACTGGTGGCAGATTAAAAGTACCATCACCATCGGCACCTTGCTTTCTCAAGCCAGCAAGAAGGCGCTTTCTTGGCGGTAGAAGAACATCGGAATCGAGATGATTCGCGTCACAAATGTTGGCCTCCATTCTTCTCCTTCCAAGTTATAGCTTTAAACATAAATCGCTAATGTGTCGTCTCCACACGAACAACAAACTGAGTTAACATTTACTTCCGCTGAAAAACAATCATAAGAATACAAAATTAGCTTCTAATTCTATTCCATCACAAATTCCATCAGACTCTAACATCAATCAGAAAACTCGGAAGCAATAAAATAACATCCAAATCAAACCATTTCTTCAGTAGTCAAAAGTAGAAATTAAAATTTGAAGCTGTCGCGATCTGGCAGAAGAGGAAGATCCCACAAAACGGATTGCCAATCTTACAAGGTTTTATGGGCAGAATCATCGCTTGAATATCAACAGCATTTCAATTCGTGGGAAAAGTACTCAGAAACCGACATGGACATCCAATTGTGAAACGGAATAAAGATAAAGCAATCGCAACACAATCAAATGAGACAAACATGCAGAAAATGAAACCAGAATTAAACCAAAGAACGCAGTGAATACAGAACGGGTCGAATTCCGCAATAACAGAAAGAAACACGAGACATAGAAAGAACCTAATAACATCAAAAGGGCATCAGCAATGGATTCAAGGGAAGGGGGAGAAAAAGAGAGAGAGAAGAGCAGAAGGGTAATTGAGAGAATTGAAAAGGAAAGGGAGTGTAAAAGGAGATGAAAAAACACAGCAAATACCTGATCTCTGGTACTGTAGAGGCGGGGAATTTACAAGGAAGAAGGTGTAATTAGGGTTTGGGAAGGAGGAAGAAGAAGAAGACGGAGAAGAAGAAAATTCAGGTCCAGAGGAAAACTGAAGATCATGTTTTAATATGATGCATATGCGTTGCCTAACAATAAAATTATATAAAAATAATATAAAATAATAATATAAAATAATGTAAATAGAAATGCGAAAATTGGATTGGTTAATGAGGAGCCTTCGCTCTCTATTCCGTGCAAGCTAACACCTTATTTATTTCTAATTTACCTTATACTTTTATTTCATTTTTCTAAATATTCATTTTCATCATTAATTATGTTTAATCAATTTATCATTATTATTTTCATGTGACCCACACCATCCAATTCAAATAATAAATGTTGGGTTGAATATCTTAAAATTTTAAACTTTTCGATCTGGTTTTTGAGCTAGGTTCACAGCTCAATCCAATGCTACTCTAGTTTTAAAATTGTTTCGATGATTAAGTAACTTCAACTGAAGTTATAGGTACGTAAAATGAGGTTCGGTTAGGTATAAAGACATTTATTATTGACATTTGGATGTGTCGTTGCATTAGATGACGTGAGCTGCCTAGTCTTGTAAGCAATGTGTTGACTTTTCCATCCCGTAAATAAGATACTAATTACTATTTCAAAATTCCATAATGTGAGTTTTTCAAATATATTATTTATTATGAATTTTATTCAACCGTTTAGAAAAAATTAAATGGGATAGTTTTAGAAGCTAAAATTGTAATAATAATTTCTAAATTTAAGAACTTTGGTAAAGTTGGAAATTCTGCTTAAAAAACACTCTCGAACCGACATGTCGTCTGTACTAACTAGCACCGTCCTTGCATTGGGGAAGTTCTAAAATGCGCTTTACGGCGGTATGCTTGAATACGCCACTCGGCACGGCCATTTTTCTTTCACTCCATGCGGCGGAGTGCAGACGTCTCGAAGAGGAATTGGCTTTTGAGTTAGTAATGTTCAGGCCTCCGAACCGTCGGCAAATGTGGCGGCAGCGCCATCTCGGAAAGAAGAGTGGATACTGCACTAACATGTGAGAATAGTTTTTGGGATGTTGCCTGAAATGGAGTAAGATTGTTCCCTCTCCACCACATTAGTTGGAGAGGGAACGGAACATTATTTATAAAGGTGTGGAAATCTCTCCCTAACAGATGCATTTTAAAAACTTTGAGAAAGTCTAAAGAGTACAATATTTGCTAGCGATGGAGTTGGGCGTATATATATATATATATATATACATATATACATATATTGTGATAAAAACCATCTTGGATTGGTCTAGTTAGTTATCGATACAATAAAGAGCTTGGAGGGAATGGTAAAGTACAAGTCAAATAAAGATCTAGCACGTAATTATTTTCTCTTGGCACCTAAATGTTGTAGGACCATATAGGTCCCATAAGATTAGTTGAAGTGGGAACTAGCCATCTAGACCTAAGACTTCGGGCGATGAGTAAACCGTTTGTCGATTGTTAGTGCTATATGTGTATTTTCATGTGAGAAGTTTTTCTTTGATAAATATTTGTAACTCAAGTCTACCGTTATTATCTTCTTTGGCCTTTTCCTTTTAGGCTACCTCTCAAGATTTTAAAAGCATTTAAGGAGAAGCTTTCACACCCTTACGAGGGTTGGAGGAGGAGTAAGTGACCAATAATTGACAAGTGTGAGCTGTTAATTGTGCAAGGCGGCCATGGGCAACCAACGACGGTACCAACTTGTGACCATGGAGGCATTGCACAAGCAGCTAAGGGAGTGGGAGGTATAGGACAAAAATGGTTCAAATGGAGCGAGTAATGGTCTGCAGCAACGGGAGGTGAGCATTGAACGGATGTTGTGTTAGGAATTACGACCAAACCTTGTTCCTTACCTAGTTTGCGCCCTATCGATTTTCCTTTTAATATATGTGTGGGAGAGAATTACATTAAGTTCAAAACTTATAATCTTTGAGACCAAGTTGTCATAATATTTAAATTATCTTGTATTCGGGTATTTTGATCTATGTCCCTTTAATACCTAGTTTGCCACTTCGTAGCTAACACATTAGACCAAATTTGTTTTAGAGAACGATTCAATTTTAAATTCAAATATTTTATGAGCTAAATAATAAGTACCATTTTTTAAAAAATAAATTGGTTGAAAATTTCTTTACCTATTTTGCTGTTGACATTTGATATTCATAATAATGTTTTTGGGGTTAAGTTCTAATCATTTAAATAATGCAAAACAGAGGAATGGGATAAGGAACAACAATTTAGACAGCAAATTCCATGCATTTTCCCCCTAAAATAGCCCAAAATAATTTTAAAATTCCGAAAAAGGACTTTATAACTAATATTTGACAAATTATGTATATGCACATACCCTTTTATAGTAACCTAAATAATACCAAAATACACTTTTGGTGAAAATAAATTTAATTACTTCATTACCATTTAAACTAAATTCCTACTATTTGGTAAATTAAAATACAAAATTCAAATATTCATACTATTAATTACTTCAATATACCATCATCAAATTCAAATATATATTTTTTTTTTTCACATTTTTACGACTTAATTAAATCAAGTTGAATTTAACGGAATTAAAAATCTAGAAATGAAAGATTATGTCTTGGAACGAATACAATCACAATAAAAGAAAAACATATCGTTTCAGTATTGATCATACTTTCTAACTAGTTAAAATATTAGATTATGATGGAACCAAACACGTTGGATTAACCTCGTACTTGTTTTACATAATGTCTAAAATTTGAGTATAAATATAGACATAACCCTAAGACAGCCATCATCCACCAATAGCTATCTTCTTATTGCATATTCATCCCTTTTGCTCCATTCTCAATTCTTTCATTTCCTTCCTTTTGTCTCTTGCAATGGAGAAGAATACCAATGCCAATGCCGATATCAATACCGTCCCAGAGTCGACCTCTCCCGACCAACGTCATGGCGGAGAAAGGTCTCCAATGGCGGTTTCTCCACCACCCGCTAGCATCGACGACAATAACCCTACTCCTCCCGTCATCAACCTCTCGTCCGTAGCACCTGCCCCAGAAAGAGGTACAACAGGCGACGTGGGAGTGTCGTCATCGTCGTCACATGGTCATGTGGGAGGCGGTTCGAACACGGAGGTAGGGAAGAAGAGAGGGCGAGGAGACGGAGGAGAGCAGCAGCAGCAAGTGAAGGCTGCAAAGAAGAAGGGAGAGCTAACGGAGGTCCCAAAAGGTGACCCAAAATGTGCGACTTGTAATAAAGTGTTCAAATCGTGGAAAGCACTTTTTGGACACTTGAGGTCTCACCCGGAACGGACATACCGTGGGGCTCTTCCGCCGCCAACCGCCGCCGAGCTCGATATCCGCCACTGTCAGCAGCAGTTCGCTTCCACTTTGCTGACGGTGGCTCAGGGAGTGGCGGCGTCGAGAAGAGGGTTGGATATTGATCTCAACCAGCCCTCCGCTGCTGAGGAGAGTGGGTCGCCTGAGAAGAGCGGCGGCGTGGGGTTCGATCTCAACGTGGAGCAGCCGCCGGAGAGTGAGAACGATGAGTGAGAAGCGGCGGGGCGGGCGTGTAATAATATCCAGAATTAACACATCTTTGTAAATTCATCCAATGTCAAATTTTGAAGAAATTATGCCCAAACGGTTACATCATGCATGCATCTTCAGGATCCCTGCATTTCCAAAATATTAATTAATTAATTCATTCATTTTAAAAATACATCTTTAACAATATTTTTCTATTTAATAAAAATAATAATTAATCACAAGTATGAACTCGTGTGTGACCCTAATGAAAAATATTTTTCTCTTCTAGTTGGGTCGGGAATATATATTTTGTAAATATAAAAGATTATATTGAATATTAAAATTTGAGTTATTAAAAATTATATTATATTTTTCTTATTAAATATTATTGCCATTAAAAACTTATTTGAAATTAATATTTTTTAATAAAAATATATAAAAAGATAAAAAATGATTCCCAAAAAATAGATCTTTGAATGAGAAATTTCGTAGAAATGAGAATCGAAATAGAAGGTGGAGACGGGAGGAGAAAGACTTCACCATCTCCGCCTCGTGAATATATCTACCGGAGACAAAATGAAATTGGGAAAAAATTATTCACGAAATTATATTCATTTTCATTCCGAAAAACAATTTTGAGTTAAATATTAAAAATTTAACCATTTGTTAAAGATGAAGAAATTAAATAAATAAATAAAAGAATAAGAAAGAAAGGACAACTAACCTATAGTTGACGATTACGAGCTTTATTAGTTGATAATAGGTTTCTTCGTCTTCCAAATCAAAACTTCAATGAAATGAAGACGAGGGCCACTCTCGACTCTTAATTCTTCGGATAATATGTTTTTGTGAGTGGCGAATATTAACATCGGCTCGTCTCTTCTTATATAGTAGTCGGTACGTATTTTTAATAAGGCAACCTAATAAATACTCATCGATATTTCAAATATTCATTTTATCGAATTTAGGATTTAGGTTTGGCATTGCTATGTTAAGAATTGCGCATTAAATTTGAACACTATTGGTTGGAATTAAAATTAAATTAAAAAGATTACCAATCAAATGTGGAAAACAATAATATAACGAAGATTGGCCGTGTTTTTCTTATCAAATTTTGGCTTTAGACACAGCTTAATTTTATATTTTATTTAATATTGTAGGAGAAATAATTTACTTTTCTAATAATATGATCCAACCAAAATTAATTAAAAGTCTTTTATCAATAACTAATTTACTTTTTTAATAATATGATCCAACCAAAATTAATTAAAAGTCTCAACCAAAATTAATTAAAAGTCTATGATAAAAAATAAAAGTTATAAATTAAAATTTTTATTTAAAATGAGGAAGGACTTTTCCATCATCTTCCACTAAATTAACGAATGTGGGACTCACTCTCAATAATTCTCAACAGTCCTCACGGGCGTCTTTTAACTGTGACATGGCTGTTCTCGATAAGAGATGAAATCAGGAGCCTATTTGTGATTTTCTTTTCTTATCTACTTAAACTCTATTTTTAATATTTTTTTTAAATACAATAAATATATTTTCCCCTTTTTATTTAATATATCTTATACTTAATACAAATTTCTAAATTTTTTACAACGTTAATTAATTAAACTTCAATTTTAACTCTTAGGATCTAAAGTGATCTTCACAAATGAGTAATCGGGGTTTGTTTATATATATATAGATATATTTTTTTAATTATATATTAATATTTAGGAGAGAAAATGGGAGATGCTCAATTGAGCTTATTACACAAATATTCAGAAAAGTAAAGTTACTGAGAATGTAAAAATAAACCTGAAATTTTGTACAAAGTAAAGTACATTATGCGTATGGCGGCCAGTAAATATGAAATTCCAACTTGTAAACCACCGTGATTCCGACCAGATCCACCGGAGATGACGTCACGTAGCCTTGTACGAACAAGAAATCTCCGGTCCCTCCCACGATGGGGTGGTTCGACGGTTTAACATTATGGGTCCCACCCACGATGGAGAGGGAACCGGTATGGTTCCTCAAACGCAAGCTGATCTTGGCTATGCTAATGCTTCGCAAGCCGTCGAGGCCAGAGGTTATGGAGGTTCCCTCCGACGTGCCGACCAGCTTCGATGCTCGGTCGGGCGCTGTGGTTAAAGGGTCGTGAAAAACGAACATGGTGCCAAATGGGGTGGTGGTTTGGCTCACTCCTGGGCCAGCCACCCCCGGCACGATGAAGTAGCCGGTTTTGTTGATTGTTTCGTGCTGGAAGAGGGAGAAGTGGAGTGACCGGAGGTGGCGGTGGGGATGGCGGGGATGGTGGGTGGCGTTGGGCTCGGCCAGCGCCGGCGAAGATAAGAGGGAGGAGAGAATTAGAGTGAAAAGGGAAGAGAGAATGAGAGAGGGTGCCATGGTGTTGATTATGGCGGGTGAAAGATCAAAGCTTTGGGACACGATTTAAATCAAGGGGAGAGCCGACAAAAGTAGTGGTTGGAAGGTTAGTGGACTTTACTTGGGTCTTATTGGTGCTAAGATTTTAAGGTCAAGGTGGGAGACGAGTGGAATCCCAACCCCATGTTGACCAATCCTTAATCCACCCTTCTTCGGGCTCACCGTCCACCCTTCTTCGGGCTCACCGTCCTTGTTGGCACATACCGTCTAGTGTTTGGCTCTGAAACCATCCGTAACTGCTCAAGCTCACTGCTAATAAAAATTGTCCATTTTAACTCATTACATATCACCGTCAGTCTCACAATTTTAAAACATCCTGATTAGAAAAATGTTCATGAGATCCATTCCTACCTATTTCATTATCTATATTTAGAAGAACAATCCCTACTCATTTCATTATACATACAATCAAATATATTCCAACCTCACCTCCTGCCATCCCCTACAGAAGGGCAACCAATGAGCGAAGGCCAACAAAAAAATGTTCAGTGTTTCTATCACAATCTCAAATGTAAACAATGTTGAATGATCATGTTCAGTTTTTCTCACCTTATGGCCTCATTTAGCTGATGAATTGTTTGCCTGTTTTTGATGAAGCTGTTTAGACTGCGTGTTGCTAGTCTTCGACTCTTTCGGTTTTTCCCTCGATTCTTCGACCTGTTCCAATGCCTCAAGAACTTCTTGCATGGAGGGGCGCTTTCTAGGATCTGTTTCCAGGCATTTTAGAGTAAGATCTCCCACTAGAGCGGCTGCTCTCAATGAATATTGACCTTCTATTCTTGCATCCATTAACCTTTTGATCTTTTTTTTCTTCTCCAAGCGTGGCTTAGCCCATTCGACCAGATTGCGCTGTTCGTAGCTCCTATTCGGATCATGTGCTCGCAAGCCTGTCATAATCTCGAGCAGCACCACACCAAACCCATAAACGTCGCTCTTCACGTATAGATGACCTGTGTAGGATCAGTAATGGCAAAGAACATGATTTTCAATGTTGACGCAATAAGATTGATTAGAGAACTTGTGAAATCAAATTATATATGTCCTGTATCACCAATATACTCTATTAGGAATCACGACTCTCCACAATGGTATGATATTGTCCACTTTGACCATAAGCTCTCATGGTTTTGCTTTTGGTTTCCCCAAAATGCTTCATTCTAATGGAGATAGTATTCCTTACTTATAAATTCATGATCTTCCTCTTAATTAGCCAACGTGGGACTACTTCTCTCAATAATCCTCAACATACTCCTCCAGATGGTCATTGTTTCTACTTCTCCTCTATGCATTTGCAAGAAAATCGAATAACCAAGCTATTTGCAATATTTGACTCAACAATGACAGATATTATCACCTGTACTAACGTATTCCGGGGCAACGTAACCGTACGTGCCCATAATTCTTGTTGTTACATGTGATTTTTCACCTGCAGGCCCCAATCTTGCCAAGCCGAAATCCGAGATTTTTGAGTTGTAATTCTACACGTGAATATAAAAGGGAAAATTTAGATAGAATGGTAAGAGAAAGATGAAATGAGGGGAAATCAGGATGGACCAAGAAGTTCAACAGTGTGTTAACATTATCCATGAGTATATAAACATATCTAATAATGAAAGATATGATGGATAACATGAAATTACCAGCTATTTAATTTCCAGTTACAAAGACATCATTTAAATATTGCAATTAGCTAAAAATAGACTGCAGAGAGAATTGGACAAACCATATCTAGAAGTATGTTGGACGCTTTAAAATCTCTGTAAATAACTTCTTTTTCTGCGGAATGCAAGAAAGCCAAGCCTCTAGCTGCGCCAATGGCAATCTTGAGCCTTCTTTCCCAAGAAAGGGGTTCTATGGAAGAACGCCCTGTCCATCACAAAAGCCAAAGATCAGCACAGATTATGAAGAATCAATTTAAACTTATCCTTTGTTTAAGGAAATCATACTTCCAAAGAGATGGTTTTCCAAGCTTCCCCTGGGCATGAATTCATATGCAAGAAGCAATTCTTCATCATCCCAGCAGAAACCCAATAATTTGACAAGATTTGGATGATTCAACCGTCCTAAAAAGTTCACTTCAGCCTGCATTATATCAAATGAAGAGTTGGACATTATTCGACCTTGCACAGTAGACTCCGATCGAATCGATAAATTTGCAAAAACCATCTACATACACCAGCAGAGCTCCCAAGTCCTAATAGCATTTACAGGTAAAAAAACAAATGCGCCAGTTCTTACAGGTTCTAGTTTTATGTTTTTTTTGGGCTTCATGAGTAGAAACATGTAACTACAAATTTCCAATTTAATCTGTGTCAAACAAGGTATGCAAAAAATGAAATTTTAAAAAGTTCGAGCAAAAAAATGGCATGTCAAGTATGACAGAACAAAGGCTACATTCTCTGGCACACATAACTTAACGTCAAATGATTGATGGACTATGTCACCAGTTCAATTGATACCTCAAACAGTCAATGAACATGAAAATGAAAAGCCCTTTAATCCTTGCAGTATTTAGGCTAATTCTAAATTTGTAGATGGATCTTCGTAGTTCTGTTTAGGACAAATAATAATAATAATATTGTTCATCT